TGCGTCTCCCTGGTCTGCTGGGGGGAAGCAGCTAGTGCGGGGTTGCCTCACCCCGTTTGTAAGTAGGGATCCGATGTAAGTCGGATCCATGTAACCCGGGGACTGCCTGTACTCAGATTATTTTAGCATCTTCTCTCCTCCAGGCCATGAATGTGGGAACATGACGCATCAATGCATGGTTTTCACTCATATTTCCCCCTCTCTCTTGGAATCAGCACCCATTGTCACTTTGTGGTTGCTTATACTGGGATTATAAATCAGAACAGATATGGCTTTTTTCCTGGCCAAAGTACTGCCCATGTGCCTCATGTATCATGCAACACACTGCATGCCCCAATACTATGAATGCCATTACACACACTGGCCTCCAACCTGTAAACTGCCTCTAATGTCTCACTCCCTTGCAGCTGTTGTGGCAGAAATTTGTATGGAGTCTGGATGTCTGCCTGGCAAGGAATAATTTAGAAAATTAATTTATTTTTGTCACAGTATAGCTTCCTGTTAGGTAATATAACTACTTCCTGTGTAAATAGTCAAATTTTATGTATTTATTCCCTTATCAGGTTAAAGAGAAAAAAATACCTTTTCAAAGGGACATTGTAATATTTTTTAGAAACCAAAACTAGAGTCCAACCATCCATGATATTTTTCCAGGATCTGTTTAAAATAAAAATGCATTTTTACAACAGATTTACTCTGCTTTCCTTCTAAATTATAATCCTCTAGACTCTTATTGCATAATATGACAGATATGTGTATTAATCATGGTGACATCTCTTCCTTTTACATTCATGGAATCAGTGCACTAATATTAGATGCAAGGCAAAGTATCTTCAGTGTTGGGGAAACTAGCTCATTAGAAAAATGCTTCTTCAGCCCATTCCTGAAATAAACAATGGCATCAGATCCCAGTTTGCAATTTAAAAAACCCTAAAGAAATTGCAATATCAATATGCTGAGTTAAGAATTATTGCCAATTTACCTGCATTGCAGAATAACCAAACTACTTGTACAGACGACTGGACAGAACATGTCTGTAGAGCTCTACTACAAAAAGGGGGGTAGAAATCTCCCTTGGGGCCAGATCGTTTCGCTTTGGAGCTTTTCAGAACCAAGCATTTTAAAAAATATATAAATACAAATAAAGCCCGGGGCTGTTTCGAGGCCAGACCATGTTGGGAAGTGAAAACTAGAAACCCTCCCCCTGCCTCTGCTAGGGTTGCCAGGTGGCCCACCCCACAGTCCGGTATTTGAGCTTTCTGTTCAGGAAACAAATTGAGAAAATAGAAATGTCCAGCGTTTTCTAAATCAGATGTAATGTAGATTGTGAGGTTAAGGCAAGTGTGTCCGGTATTTTTGTTGAAGCCATCTGGCAACCCTAGCCTCTGGAGGAGACAAGGGTGTGTCTACACTGCCCATAATTCAGCATCAGAACATAAGAGCATAATTGCGGCCCTACTGGGTCAGACCAAAGGTCCATCTAGCCCAGTAGCTGACAGTGGCCAGCACCAGGTGCCCCAGAGAGGGTGGACCGAAGACAATGATCAAGTGATTTGTCTCCTGCCATCCCTCTCCAGCCTCTGACAAACAGAGGCCAGGGACACCATTTTATCCCCTGGCTAATAGCCTTTTATGGACCTAACCTCCATGACATTATCTAGCTTCTCTGTTATAGTCCTAGCCTTCACAGCCTCCACTGGCAAGGAGTTCCACAGGTTGGCTCTGCGCAGTGTGAAGAAGTGTCCTCTAGTTCTATTCTGGGAACTAATAAATAACTTTTCTTTATGCACCCTCTCCACACCACTCATGATTTTATTTACCTCTATCATATTCCCCCATCATCACTCTGTATTGGCAAAGGAGAGGTCTCCCCTCCATTAAACAAATCCACCCCAAAGGAAGGGTAAAACTTTTGGCTGGGTGTGTGTGTTTTTTTCTCACCCCTGAACAACTAAAGCATTATTGCTAGGAGTGGCAATGTAGACCCAGCTTGGCTTTATGTCTTTGCGTGATGAGATTTCCGGTTCGGCCGCTACCGGTACCAGCGTGGCAGTAATAGACTCAGCCTTCTCCAAGGCCTTTGGCTTGGACCACCGCACGCCATTCCGGATAAGCAACCTAGAAAGGCATAAAATGAGCATGAGCCACGCTGAATGGATTTAAAAATGGCCAATAGGGTTCAAAATGGAGCTGTAAACGGGGCCTCCGCCCCAAGAGGCTGCATTTCCAGTGCCAGATCCCTTCTTGGCCTTGCACTGCGGCTCCCAGGTGTTACTGGAACACACTCAATAAATAACAGATAGAGCTACATTAGCGCAGCTGGCAAATCATAATTCTTCACATACGGGTCCATGGAGAACAACGTAGCTGCCCGACTTCTCTCTTCAGGAGATTGTAGCGGAGGGGAGGCCAAAACACAGTTGTTCTGGCTTTGCACCCAGCCCATAAGAGCCGCGCGGTACGTTACGTCTCCACTGGAGAATGCTGCCAGTATGGAACGGTACGAAGGCATTTAATCCCTCACCATTGAAGCTGTGCCGGCAGCTAGTGTAGACGGGATGATACTGGCAAAACTGTGCCGTTCCTGGTTGTGGTGCGGGGCGAGCGGCTGTTTTCTCAGGTGGATGACCGATCCAGAAAAACCGGGACCAAACAAAGGGGTGAAATCTGGAAAGGTCAGTTGGGGGGTTGTTCTGGTGCAGGGCCTCAAACTAGGGGTTTTTTTCTTCCTGGCTCAGCAGAGAGCCTTAAATTCTAGGCTCGGGATTGAAAGGGGAGGAGTGGGGATTGGCTGGCAGAGCGAGCAGCTGCTCCGGATATTTTGTGACAAGCAGAGACAACTTGTGTCAAAGTTGCAAAGAGTTTTGTGCAGCATATTTCAACAAATCAGCTATTTACCCACAGGGGAGCCCACAATCACACTTAGTCTCTGGGCAACTGGCTCAGCTCTGCCCAGACTGTCATGCCCCCAACCCCCAGAGTTGACCAAAGCATGCATTGCGCGGCTCTAGCAGTGTTCTTTTGAACCACCAGGCCCTGGGGGCTATCAATCCCCTTTGTTCCCTCCCCCCCCGCCATGAACCCACTCTCCCTCCTTGCTTACCAAAAACTGCTCCCCAGCTCTAACCTGCAGCCTGTGTGTGGAGGGGACTGGAATTAGCTACCCCAGTAAACAAGGGCATGAATCACATCTACACATGGAAAAACAACAAATGGTCTGGTAGCACTTTCTAGACAAACAAAAGTCTTTCATGGGCACAGCCCACTTCTTTAGATGACCAGAGTTTGCATCCCATGTAGCTGTTGCCCGCGGGAGAGCGGGGGGGTCGGGGGGGGGGAGAACCACACCCCTGACCTGTTGCAACGATGTCGCCAACCCCCACCCTGCTGTGGAGACACAACAGTGCTTAGCTACCGTCCCTTGGCGCGTTGGGGTTCCTATACTAGCAGAAAAACTTCTGTCAATGGACCCTGCGTCTACACTACAGTATGGCTGGGGACAATTATTTATTTTCCTAGTGCAGACCGGCCTTTACTGAGTGTGTCTACACAGTTTGGTTAAACCCAGATCTGTGTGCTCCGGTGACTTGTGTTTCCAGCTGGCTTCGGGTCTCCCAGCTGAGAATGTGTCCACCACTCTTGTGACGCAGGGCTGTGGCTTGAGCTGCGTCCACACTGCAGAATGCCAGGGCTTGCATCCACACGGCCGGCCGGC